GCTTCATGGTCATCCCTGCTGGGCGGAGCCTTGAACTTCAAGCTCTCAAAGCACACGGGGAGGACGCGATGAGCCAGGAGCCCAAACACCAGCACATCCACGCAAGGCCCAAGTTTGGTCCACTTGTTCACGGAGGGCACCAGTGGCATATGATGGAGCACTGTTTTCGTAATCGCCGGGGCGAGCTTCGCCACGTGCTCTGCGAGCGTCGTGCACTCGCACGCCCCACTGCAGAAGTGCTGGACGGCGTAAGGGGACCACCAGCACCCGTTCATCACAGCCCTGAGCTCTCTCAGGGATTTGACATACGCATCGAAACCCTTATGCTTGAATTCCCGGTCATCGTCAATGTCGGCGCCCCACTGGTCCGCGTCGGTGTCCTCGCCCGGGTCGCCGTCGAAACCGACGTTGGCTAACCAGTGGTGTTTCCGGGCAGTAGTAACTGCAAACCGCATGTAATTACACATCATGTATTGGCACACCTCCCTGCTGAACTCGGCGGCACCTGCCGGGGGCGCGCCCGCGCGCACCTGTACCCTGTCGTCGGCTAGCAGCGCGGGGAGACTTCTCTTCATGCGCAACCAAGCTGCCCCCCCGCGCAACAACAAGGCCAAACTATACAACCTGGATATCAAGTGGAACGGAGCATGGGATATAATTGTCGTCACGGATACTTCGCATAACTGGTTTTGGTGGAGGCTACAGTACCAGTGGTCATGATGCTCACCCGCAGCGACGTTTGCGAATTGAACTGCGCTCAACATCTGGTTCGGCATCGCAGCATCTGTCTCCCCAAGTGAAACAGTGAAGACCGCTTTCTGCATCAAGACGTTAATGCCCCGCCAAATCCTTGCAAGCATTGGGTGGGTGTACAACACTTTGAAGATCTGCGAAGCCGCCGTGCTGGCAACGATCAGCGGGGGCATCGCCACGCCAAACTCGTACACCTCCTGTCCCCAACAGATGACAATAAACATCCTGGCGGCCATCACTTGATACGTGGACGGTTCCCTCCCTTCTTTTGTCACAAGCGAAAGCTGTTGGCCAGTTTCGTCCCAACTCAAGCGGAAACCAAAAACATCAGGAGGGACAAGAGTTGCTCGAACGACAAGACATCCGATAATGACCAACTGCACCTGCAAATACACAGCTGCAAAAAAACATCGCACGCGGCGAATTGTCCGCCGGTCTACTTTGAACTGCGCTGCCAGATCGGATACTCTGCGAATGGGGCTAAACGCGCAGACTTGCCCAGCGGCGAGGCTCAGCTTCCTGCGCCACTTATTGCCCCCCTTGACCTCGCAGTTGTTCGACAGCGCCACATCGGCGTAGCGCTGCTTCAGGTCCGCGAGCTCGGTGCTCTTCTGGGCCGCCTGCTTCCAAGCTTTACCTTCGCGCATGCGGGCTGCCACCAAGTGCCTCTCCTCCTGGGAGCCATGCCGCCCTCGACCACAACTGACGCTGGTCTTCAGGGATGTCTTTTGTATCTGGGCGGGGGGCGTCTGTCGTTCAACGACAGATGGCCCTAGGGCAACCTGCAACTCCTGAACACTGCCAGTCGCACCGCCGTCTTCATCGTCGGTGAACTCTTCAAGCTGCATGGCAGGGCAAGGGGCCTCCTCGACCTCGCTGTCACTGAACGCCTCCAGTTGCGAGGGCGGCATGCGAGCAACGCGTGCTGGGATACAAAAGGCAAAACCACAATTTATGCAATATGGGGCGCGCTGTCCTCGAGGCTTGAGCCAAACATGGTTACGGGTTGTTGCAAGAACATGATGTTTGGTTTACTTGGGTGGCCCGAAGGTTTGTTGCAATGTTTTGCCCTTTCCACATGTATTAGCAGCGCGCGTCTGATTGTTTATGTGCCGGGCGCGTATGAGTTCGAATTGCGCCGTATGCGGGCGTAAACAGCACAAGCCAGCATGGGCGTGCCGCGCGATACGGCCTAACCCCCCAGCGAAGGGGGAGGACACATCCTCGGGCATGCCCACGCCAACCTGTGCTATCTCGGCGGGGGAGGGGCCAAGAGGTCGCGGGCCAGACTGGGGTCCGCCACCAAGGCCGCCCTCGCTCTGCCTCCGCCTGCTTCCGCGGACATCGCGCCAGCTTCTTTTAGAATCCTCTCCCCTGCTGTTTATTGAACATATAAGACAATCGACAACCCCAAAGAGAGCACCCAAGAGGAAGACATGGGTGATAGCACAGCCCATTCCCGCACGAAGCTGGCCGATGCGAGCGGATATATGAAGCCACGGATGCTGGCATGCAAGACCCCCTCGAAAAGTGCTCGCACACGTTGGGGTCAGGGTCTAAAAATGTTCTCGCGCAGCTGGACAAAGTAGTCGAAAATGCAACTTCCAGCGGGCCCATGTTGATCACAAAACCTATCAAAAACGCTTGCTAAAGAGGGGGGTCGATTAGCGGACGCATGCCCCTCCCAATCAAGCTGCATTAACGTACTCTGAGGCCTGTCGCCATCCTTATATATATGTATATATATACACATATATGTATGTTGTATGCATTACGTCGGCTACGTCTTGGTAGCACATGCTATGCTTGTCAGCGTCAAGGCTGCACACATAAACGCTGACGAGCTCGGTGAATCGGAGTTGAACTGGCCCGGATGGCTGACAGGCCAGGGCAAGCAAGATGAAAAAAAGACGGTTTCAGCAGAGCAGTCGCTAAAGTTGGGGGGCAAGCGTGAGGAAAATAGTACGATTCCAGCAGGCACTAACTTCACCAACATGACCGTATGCAAGCCCATACAGGTGGGACGGCGTCCTGCTATTCGGGGCACGTAAGCACTTCTGAGAGTGTCGCAACTCATTGGGAATGTGGCTGCAAGTGTGCGGGTGGGATGTTTTGGATTGATGTGGGGTGCGGTTGTAGTTGCCAAAATCCGACGCCACCGGCGACTCCTCAATCAAACGATTCTGCAACTGCCCCTGGGCAGTTGTTGAAAGGAATCAGCGCAGTTAGCGATCGCCAGGAGTCAGCACATATGTCATGGTCCTGCACCGCGATCAGTGCGAGCAGCTTCACCATGCAGCACGATTCCTACATCTCGGGCAACAATATTGTAGTGACCAATAATGCGGGCAGCCACCGTGGGCGGGCATTCTACACGTGGGCAAATTCGGGGGGATTCAAGATCAACTTCGACATGTGGATGGGTGGTGGGTCAAGTGCCGACGGCATGTGCATGAAGTACGGCGGGCACGATGTGCCAGACGAAGCCGGCGAGGACATCGCGGCATCCGGCTTCTCTGTGTGTTTCGACTCCTATGCAAACGGTGATGATCATGGCGTGGTGATGGGCTGGAATGGCAGAACCATCTTCTCACAGCTCGGCTCGAGCCATTGTGAGCACGAAGTTCCGCTCTTTGAAGATTCCGCCTGGCACGATGTCATCGTGGAGGTCACGCCCAGCGGCAGCGGTGCGAATGTGATACTGAATTTTGACAATGGCTACCACTACAAAGCCGCATCGATTAGCAGCTTGGCAGCACCCGTTGTTAGCCAACAGCTGGCATTCACTGCAAGGACTGGTAGTGCAACCAATTGGCACTATGCCACGAATATCCAGGCGTGCAGCATTGCGACGCCCAACCCGACGCCTACTAACCCGACACCATACCCGACGGCCTTCCCAACGCCCTACCCGACGGCATTCCCGACGCCCTACCCGACGGCATTCCCGACGCCCTACCCGACGGCATTTCCGACGGCATTCCCGACGCCCTACCCGACGGCCTTCCCGACGCCCTATCCGACGGCCTTAACGACACACCATGGAACTGGTCAAATGCATAAGGGAACATCTCGTGTCGACCTCATCAAGAAGTTCTTCCACATCAAACATGGCGGGGCATCCGACCTCTCGGTTGCAGAGGCAAGCCTCGCATGACGACGTGTAGATGGAGTTGTGGTACATGGAGTGATCCAAGTTTTAACATGGCGTGTGCAGGACCGTCTGGAGGCCTCGCCCAACAGCTCTTCTCCCCTGGGAGGCGGCGCGAGAGCGCGAAGTTTTTCGCACTTCTCGCTTCGCGCAGCGCGAAGCGCGAAGTTGGGAGCCCTTGTAGAAGGTGTGGGGGCTACGCATGGGCAGGGCTGGATCCCCCGTCCAGGAAACATCTGCCCGAGCCCCCACGAAAAGTTTGAGCCAGAAGCGGTCTGGAGCGCTGGGAGGGTTCTTCCCCAGTGGGGCGAAGCAATACCGCGGGTGGACGGCTTCCGAGGCTCAGGCGCCGTCACTTGCCGATCGCTTTGGCCTCGTTCGCGTTGCGAGGAGCGGTCTCTTGATACAGGGGGCCGGGGGAGGGGAACTTGACAAAAAAAAACGCGATTCTTGAGGACCCCAATTGGGGCGAATGATTGGGCGTCCCTCAGCTCCTTACCAGGTTCGGGGTCCTCGATCTCGCCAGCCAGCTCGAGGCCCAGGGATGTGGTCAGATGCGGCTTTCCGCAGCGATGGACGCTCCCAATGCGTATAGCACAGCACAGGGAGGGCAAATCGGGGGGGAAAGGGGGATGCAGCGCGCAGCGTCACCTTCTCGAGCCTGACTGCTGCACTGGAGGATCACAGGATCACTAAGGTGACGGGGAGAGAGCTTATTGGGCCCCGGAAACGGCAGGGCCGTTTTTTTACCGTTTCCCAAAAATTGTCCTTCGACAATGGAAACGGCAACAAAAACGGCGACCAGAAACGGCAAAAAAACGGCTCCAGGATTGGAACCGGGGCCGGAACCGGTCAAAAAACGGCGATGGACCGGTAAAAAAACGGCGTCGGAACCGGCAAACAAACGGCAAAACGGAACCGGTAAAAAAACGGCCTTGTCGTTTCCAGGGCCCACTAAGGGAGAGAGTGGGGTAGGAAATAGGAAGGCGGTATTGCCCTCCTTGCCCGCCTCTCTGACTGCGCTACTCCTCCGCGCCTTGCGCTCCACTCCGGTTCTCGTGTCCTTTTGCGCAGCCCCCTCGAGTGCCACGGGCAGGCCATGTCCTCGCCGACGATGCGCTTCCGCACGACGCCTGCCGACTTCGAGGCCTATCTTGCGTCGCCTGTCCCGCTCAGCCACTTCGTCCCTCCCCGCTCCTCATCCATCCTTCCTTCTTCCTTCTGAACAAATTTTCCCTGTCGCTCCACCATCGTTATGGCGGACTGGGGCGCTTAGCCTGAGACACCCTGAGCGCGCGCGATCTTGAAGCCGAATTTCCAAACAATTACACGGATGGAGAGCCCGCCATTTTCAAGATCGGACCCTCACTTTGGCGCCGTGCACCCCCGTCTTTCAAGCTTCCGAGAGATGCACAGATGGAGGGCGACTTGTTGTCAATCTGCGGGTACTCGCTCTGGCGCCGCGTCCTCGCCTTACATATGTACAACAGTTACACGGATGGTGGGCACATCGTTTACATTATGGCTGTCTCGATTGAGAGTTCTGCAAGTTGAATTACCGCCTGTATACAGTTGTGCAGCCGTTTAATTGATGGAGGTGGTTTCTGTTCTTCAAAGTGAGGCTCAAGCATGAGATTGCGAAGGCTTTACGGCCAGTGCTGCCAACTCTGAAAACGACACCGCTGATCACGACGAGATAGAAGGAGGAGGAGGATGAGGAGGAGGAGGAGGAGGAGGAGCCGAGTGAGGAGGAGGCGGAAGACGACGCCCAGGAGGTGAAGGAAGAGAAGGAGGAGGAGGAGGAGGAGGAGGAGGAGGAGCAGGAGGGGGGTGGCGATCATGTGGAGGAGTGTTGGGATGTGGAGGCAGAGGTTGAGGGGGGGGAGGCTGAGCGCCGGGGGGGGGTGCAGGGCGACGTGAAAAGGAGAAAAATGACAGGGTTGGGTCGAGGATCGTGCGGAATAGGAGCAGGAGGGAGATATGGAAGAGGGATACTTGGAGAGGGGGGCGACTCGGGGTGGGGGCCCTCTTGGACGCTCTCGGAGACCTCTTGGGACACACTGTGCTTGTTTGGGCATTTTTTCTAGCCCCAGAACCCCCAGGGGAGGATGCGTATCTGACCCTCCCCCGCCACCCACGCGGCCCCACCCCTCCCACCCCCCGACGGGGGAGGGATCAAAGGGAAGGAGCTCCCCTTCGACTCGATTACGACATTGCTAAGTTGTTTTGTCGCTGACAGGCTTGACGGATGTCAGGGTCGGCAGATGTCGACTAGGGCCTACCAGAGTTGTGGCTTCTTAGGATTAGGCTTCTTGAACGACACCACCGGAACCAGACCCGAACGGATAAACCCCTCACACACGCCAACATGGTGGGCGGAGTTCGTTAGAATTGATTGCCAGAAGTTCAAAGCTGCGTAACACCTACACTGACAGGATGGTAAATGTTCAAGGGGGTGTGTTTGGCAGTTTTCTCTACTTGCGTAATCCCGCCTTGCCGCATTATGTGTATATGTATGTATATATATATATACATATATATATATATATATATATGCTACCCCCCCCCCGCAGGGGTCTACCGTTCAATATGTCGGCGTCCAAGCGAAGCGATGGTGTGATGTTATGTTCCTGTCATTGTGCTGACAGTGTATGCTAGAATTTCCGATGGCGCGGTGGCGGTGAGATGATTGGACCCGTTGGCAGTGCGATGCGTTTGGGTTTCAGGACCCGCGGGCATTCTTTTTGAATTACAAACCTCTAGGTGCAGAAGCACGCAATGAAGAGTACCCATGGCAGAACCCCGACGTAGTGCAGACGCACTACCTAAGTCTACGCCCATTCGGCTGCCGCGGCCGATCACGCATACTGTACGTTGCGCATAATTTGTTGCGCCATGCGCACCGAAGTAACTCGAATGTCGCGTCATTGTGCCAATAGAACTCCCCGAGCAGTGCGGGCGCACTGCCTACGTCGACGCCAAAACGTCCGCCGCGGGCCGATCACGCCGTCAGCACGTCGCGCATGATGTGCTGCACCATCTCCCCCGTCTTGGCCCACATGTCGTCGTCCTTGTGCCAGTAGTCGTACTAGGCCGAGCGGATCTTGGTGGCGAGCAGCTTGGTTCCTGCCTTGGCATTAACGCTCCTGTGCACGCGGTCCTTGATGAAGCGCCACGCACGGTCAATGATCTGGGCGCCGCTCTTGACCTTGAGGTGCTTGCCCGACGGGAGTACGTGCGTCTTCAGCTCGACGTACCTGGGGGGAATGAGCACCTTCTTGCCGCCGACGTTATTGTACTTCTTCTTGTGAACAACGAAGTCGTGAATGACTCCGGGCACACGTAGTTTGTAGGAACGCGCCGAGTCAGTGTGAAAGACAACATCGCGGTCTTTCAGCCAGCGCTCCGCAAGGGGCTTCCACTCTACCTTGCGCACGGCCCCAGGGCCAGGCGCCCGCATCTTCGCCATCTCGGGGCACAATCTCGTAAGTGTCAGCGCGCGCGGCCTGCCGCGCTGCACAATGCCCAACCACTGCTCCCACATGACGGGGTGAGTTGGGTCTCCCAGAGGCTCGGGCCCGTCGGTCAAGTCCAACTTGTCGAAGGTCGCCTCGTCAGCCTCCACGTCTGCCCATACCTTCGGCCCACTGTATTCGAGGGTCGGCTCCACGTCCTCCACGTACATCCTCCTGGCCTGCTCAACGTTGCTCCAAATCCGCTCCACCGCTTTGTGGTTGACGTCGAACATGATGTGGGTGTTTGCGTGGGAAGTCCCCGTGAGCTTCGCCAGTAGGACCACGGCCTGCTTCTGCATGCTCTCGGACGTCGAGTGCTCGCTGAAGATTGGGTTCATGTGGGCAGGAGACACGTGCTTCTGGCAGCCCTTCGCGCTGCACCGATGCAAGAAGCGATCGCCCTTGTGCGGGCGAGCTGCCAACTCCCCGAGCTTGCCGCGCCCGCAGAAAGGACAAGTCGCCCCAGTCCAAACAACGAGTAGCTTGTCCTCCAGCAAGATGTTCATGATCTCCGCGTCAGACGCCGCCAAGAGCTCCGGGACTGTGCGCTTCCACTTTGCCTGCTCGCGGCGCAAGCCCCTGCCAGGCGTCGCGTTTTTCTCCCTGGCGTACGGCGCGTTCTTCCAGTCCTTGGTCTTGGTAGCAGAGGGACGCTTGAGCACCATCCGAGCCTTGCCCTTTTTGGGGACGATGCCCGAACGTCCCCCGACAGCAGCGGCGGGGCGACGGTGGACGGCCATCCCTGGTTCCTCGCGCGATAGCACGGACAAGGCAAAGCGTGAGAGGCGCGGGCACCTGCGGCTCTGGCTGCCGACTCGGCCAAGAAACGGCTGCGGCGATGGCGACAATCCGACGGAGAGGGCGATCACGTTGCTGTGCGCTGGTGGTTGCAATGTCTTCATCGGCATCGCGAGACAACGCCCTCGCTGCCTATCAACAACCCAAGCATCGCCCTGGTCGAGCCAAGGGCGCCGTCCCCCCTGGAACATTGGCAAAACAAACGATGCTGATGATGGGCCTCGGAAGCAATCGAGTACGCGGGCTGGCCAAACATATGATGCGGATGGCAAGCCTCAGAGGGATTCGAGCATGTGGATGTGCCGTTTCATGTGGCGGCGCCAAACCACAACGATGGCCCATCCCCATCCTGCTCATGGTCCTCGTCTTCGTTGTCGGCATCATCATTATCATCGGCATCCGCATCATCGTAGTATTCGTCGCCGTTGTCGTCGTCTGAATAATCATCAGCATCGTCATAACCATCATTAGCATCACCATCGTCCTCCTCATCACCATTATTATCACCGCCATCATCACCATCACCATCATCATCGCTAGCATCGCCATCAGCATCATCATCTTCATCGTCGTCGTCATCAGCGCTGCCCCCATCATCATCAGCACTGTCATCTTCACCACCACCATCATCATTATCATCATTATTTCGAACAGCTCCCACAGAGAATTCTTGACAGGCAGACAAGGTGCCTTTCGTCGCGATGACGCGATTCCAGCGACGACTGGACGACGTGTTTCAGCGCGCTGTAGAATCTAAACAATAAAGCCCTGAATGCGTTCCTCGCTGAGCAGGCCCCCCCCCTCATATCGCACCAGCAGAGTGCGCCCCTCGCCGCGGGCCGCCCACGGCCGAAGCCCGAAGGACGGCCCGACGCGCCCGCGCATGCTGGGCTCGTGCGCGCCCACGAGGAATGCAATTTCACGGTGCCGCGGCAACCCCAGAAATGTCTGCGCCCTCCTCTCCATGCACTTCCACGTAGTGGCCCAACCCGCAGTGTCGACCCAGGCAACGTTGTGCTCGGTAATGAAGCCAAGGTCGCACACGCGCGCGGGGCGATCATGCCAGATGCAGACCGCCGTCACCTCCAAGTTTCTGTAAGGGCGCACGATAATCGGGAGCAGGCTTGGGTCGGAGGGCAACCAGAGCGGGCCCGCGAACCCCGCCGCGACGTACTGCTGGAGGCTCTTGTGGAAGTGCTTGGAGCTCGGCCACCCGTCGACGGAGATGCGCAGGCGGTCCTCGGGGGAGGGCGGGGGGGCACGGGCCGCCCTCGATAGCTGCGGAGGATTCTATCAGCGATGCATTTCGAACAACCAGTCCTCCCCGGCTTGCAAGCGATGGGACTGCATCGCGCTCAGTTTCCACCAGAAGGAATCTGGGGGCAGTGGCGCGCCAGGGCGAGAATCTGGCAAGAACGCAAACTCGTGCGCCATTGCAGCGAGTGGCGGGCCGCCAGAGAGTCGAGTCGACGCTTGCGGGGAAGCTTTAGCCAGAATTGCACATGGCGCAAGCATGCGATCAGATGACGCGCAGGGGATGGGGGGGGGGGGCGACGACGGCGACGCAAGCCATACAGGGCACAAGAGCGCCCTTGCTGTGGGAGAAATGCCGAACTGAACCCACTCAAGCCGAACGCTCACTCATTGAAGCTGGCAAGCGGCTCTCCTTCGTTGGGTGGTCAGGGTTGGAGGGTGCTTGTTTTTTACGTGATCCCTCTATTCTTGGAATGGCAGGGCTATCAGCCCTTGTCTCCTGGGAGCGCAGGCGCACTAGCAACGTCTACCGCGCAACGCTCGCCGCTGATGCCAATGCGAACCCCTCACTCAGCCCCAG